TCGAGAGTCGACAAGCAACAAAAACCCATGGGCGCAAGCGGAGTTAATTGTGAGATGTGCTGTGCCAGCGGCCACCAGCCACAGGGGTGGTTCGCCCACACCTGGAGCCTGGCTGTCCTGCTCCCAGCCTGGGGCTGAAGATATCACATTGTCCATCCTGTTCGCTAGAGCATGGCAGGGCTGCAAAAGCCATGACGTTTATGGCTCTGGGAGTGCCACCAGGAGACAGCTGCCCATAAGGGTGCACCGCAAGCAGCAGTGAGGCACGTCCCCAAGGGATTGCCAGCCCCTCACTCCCTTCTCCGGTGCACAGTGAGGCAGTGGCTGAAGCCAGGGTCAGGGCAACCATGGGGTCAGGATCCCTGAGCACCTGGTGAGGAGCAGGAAACATAACTAAGCCATCACGCCGGGACAAGTGCTGCAGCCGGCAGCTCGGCTGCCCTGGGAGGGAGGAGGCAGGAAAAGCAGCTGTTGTGGGCAGATGGCCCAGGGCAGCACTGCCTGCTGAGCCCTCAGATACTCCCTCAAAAGGCTTGCACTGTTCTCCCCAGCCTCCCCGAGCCCAGCCCTGTTTGAGCCTGAGACAGGACCTGTGCAGTGCCCCCATGGCCCGGCTCCATTATAACCCAGTCCTTGGCAGCCCAGGTCTGTAACTGCACATCTGTTCCTCTAGCGAGCAGGCATGGCAGGGCTTGATAGGAGATATAGGCGAGCAGGAGGACGAACGGCGAGGTGATCGCGTGAGAGGCAACGAAACGGAAAGGCCGTCTATCTGGAAAGCAGCCAGATCTAGAAACCCAGGACTATGGACTGCAGCAGACTTCCAGCATGGCATCTCTGCCCATGGGGCCCAGATGTGGCATCAAGCAGGAGCCTGTGCCTGCCTAACCAAACTTAAATTGCTGACCTGCTCTCCGGCAGCTTCAGTTTGGGCAGCTGGCCCTCTCCCACATAGAGCTCAGGCAGGAGTAACATGCGCTGAGGACTGCTCCCCCAAACCAGCTTTAATTTAGTCATACCGTTTTTTGGAGAAAAATAGAAATCCATCCATGTGGGTTGATCCATCCGTCCAGCACACACTGCTGGCCTTTGGGGACAGCAAATGGTCCCTGGTCTGTTGTGTTGGCTAATATAGACACAGCC